TTCGGGTCACGACCAATTCGGGTCACGACCAGAGTCGCGGAACGAATTAAGTTCGTGAACCGAGGTACCACTGTATATGGAAGTCCTCAAAAAAATTCCAGTGATTATGTAGTTGTAGGAAAAGTTAGGGGGTCATTGTTTCAGACAGAGATTTGGTATGTGTATTTTTTCACATTGATACCTATGACGCTGGTATTAACTGCAGTCACAGAGTCTGTTGTCCTGAGTTGTGTGGCTGCATTTTAGTCTACATTTGCAAGACACTTAATCTATTGCTGAATTCATTTTATTTTCTTGATTCATATAAAACTAACCAAATGTGCTGGGTACACATCTTTAGTTACACACACAACACATAAAAAAGCTTCAAATTAATCAATTTGAATTACAATATTCAAACCCAGCCAATTGTGATTTTTTACAATGTTTTTAACAAACTGGTTGGACATGATGCAATAACATTACCTGTAGAAGGCAGGAACACATCTCTGTTTTAAGCATGACACAATGGTGGAGAGGTTGTATAACTGCAGTAGGTGGCAACACCAAGCCAACCTTGGCCTATGTTAGAAAGCTAGGTAATTTGGGACCTCCTTAGTCTGCTGAGAAACCACCTGGAAATACCAGGGCTGTTGATGAGACTGGGAAGTTGAAAAATCTTCCTGGAAGAACACAGTGGCAAACCACTTCCATATTATGCCAAAAAAACTACATGAACATGTCTGTGAAATCTCCAGCTCAATTCAGGGGAGACTTTGTCTTACTTCCATAATGATACAAGGGGAGGCAAGAGAAGCATCAGGCATGGACATAGTCTGCAAAAAGCTACTTTTCACACTGGGTGCTTCCTATAGAATGAGAAAATAGCATCTAGCCTCATTTTAATGTTGATATGATCATTTCCCTATACAGTGGTACCTCGGTTCACGAACTTAATTCGTTCCGTGACTCTGGTCGTGAACCGAATTGGTCGTGAACCGAATCAAATTTCCCATAAGGTTCAATGTAAATACAGTTAATCCGTTCTGAACCATATGTTTTTTTTTAATAACAACCACAAAAATATGACACAAAGTACAGCACGAAGAGAGAGAAA